CAAATACATCTCGATAACTTTTCTCTCTCTTTCATCTTCTGGAACCCCTAAAATGCAAATGTTGCATGTTTTATGCTATCCCAAAGATCTCATGTTACTTTATTTTTATTTATTTGTCTTTTGTTCTGATTGGGTGATTTTCATTCTATTTTCTAGATTACTTATGCATTCTTCTGTGTCATTTAGTATTCCATTCATTGCTTCTAGAGTGCTTTTTATCTCAGATATTGAATTATCTATTTTTGTTTGTGTCTTCTTTATATTTTCTAGTTCCCTGTTAAAATGATCTGTGCTTAGATGAATTCTCTTTCCTAATTCAATTAGCATTTTTATTATCAACCGTTTGAATTCATTGTCTGGTAGACTGATTATCTCTGTTTCATTATTTTTTTTCAGGGGTTTTGTCTTGCTCTTTCAATTGAGAGTAGTTCTCTGCCTTTTCATTTTACTTGCTCTGTCTCTGTGAATATAGGTGAAACAGTTACCTTTTGTGGTCCTGAAGTGGTGTTCTTATGTGGAAGCATCCTTATGTAGACCTTGTGTGCCTTTGGTGGGAGGGCTGTGTTTGATGTGGATTCCAGTCACACATTTCCTTAGGGTGTGCTGGTAGCTATCACCTTGGTGTAGGGGTTGTGGCTGGTGATGGAGAAGCCTGAGCCTGTGCAGGGTGTGAGGTGGAACTTCCACTCTGCTCAGTGGCCATCTCTACCCTTTCACAGGTGGAGTCTGCTCCCAAGTTGCTGGAGCAGAAGGTTGAGAATCTGGCTGGAGCTGGTTGTGTGTTCCATTTAAGTGTGTGTTTTTCCTCCTCCCTGCACTGGGGTCTTTTCCCCAAAGCAGGGGAGTACTGAAGCAAGTGGGGCTCCTGTGCTTACAGTGGTCTGATGCACTGGTTGTGTAGGCATCTGTGGCTACCTCAGACACAGCTCACATTCACATCTCTTCCCCTGTTGTGGTCACTCCAGATCTAGTGCTAGGTTGTGGCATCAAGTGGGCAGGGCTGGAGCATTTGCTCATCTGGGATTGCATACTTGTGGTCACAGGAGTTCAAGCAGCTGTGCTGCCATCAGAAGTCTGGGCTGCTTATGGGGTGCTGTCTTAGTAAGCACCAACAATGGCCTCCACCATCCCACCTGTAAACACCCCAGGCCCCAGGTCACCTCTGCATCCCAAGATTGAATCTTTTCCCAGTTGGTGGGAAATCTCCCTAGATCCAGGGCCAAGCTGTGGTGTGGAGTGGGTGAGGTAGGAGTGTTTGCTTGGCTTGGACTGGGAAGCCCAGTGAGGCAGCAACCACTAGGGCTGACCTCTCTCCGCCCTGTCTGTTGGCAAGTCAGCACGCTTGCATTCCACACGAGTGGAGCCCAGGCTTCTCCAGACTTTCTATCTGTCCCAGCAGTTCTCCAAGCAGCCAAGGGAACTTGTTTCCTTCCTGTAGGACCCTAGAACTGGGATGCCCAGTCTGTGACTTGACCCACTCACTTCCCAGGGTGAGTGTCCATCTGTGCAATCTCTCTTTTCCTCTTAGTACCCTCCCAGGGGTATTTGTCCCAGACCGGTGCTTTTTTTCTTGTCCTACTCAATTATGTGTGTATCTTACTTACAGCCTTGGTTTGTAGGAGTTCTGCCACTTTCCAGTTAGTTTTCCATGAGAATTGTTCCACCTGTAGATGTATTTTTGATGTGTTTGTGTGGGGAGGTGAGCTCCACATCATCTTGCTCCACCACCATTTGATCTTCCTCTGATCAGTGATCGTTGATGTTACTATTGCAAAAAGATTATGACTCACTGAAGGCTCAAGATGATTAGTATTTATTACCAATAAGGTGTTTTTAAATAGAGATATGTACATTTTGAAGATGAAATATATTTGACATAAAACATTATGTAATTTAAGTTGTATAATGTATTGATTTGATACATTTATATTCAATATATTGTAATAGGATAGCCATTTTTCATGATAGTTCACACCTCTATCATGTCACATAATTATTTCTTTTTGTGGTTGGAATAATTAAGATGTAGTCCCTTAGCAAGTTTGATGATTATAATATAATATGGTTGTCCATATTCACTGTACTATACCTTAGATCTCTAGGACTTATTTTTCTATGAGATGCAGATCTGTACCCTTAAAAGACATCTCTCCTATTCTCCTGCCCCTCAGCTCCTGGTAACCACCATATTACTCTCTGTTTTTACAAGTTTGACTTTTTTATATTCCACATAAAATGGATATCATCTAGTATTTGTCTTTCTCTGTCTTTTAAAAAAATAAACAAAATGACAATCTTTAGCTAGATTAACTAAGGAAGGAAGAAGACATAAATAAAATTAGAAATGAAAGTGGAGACATTATAACTGATGCTACAGAAATACATACGCTTGTAAGAGACTACTGTGTAGAATTATAGGCCAAAAAATTACATTACCAAGAAGAATGAATAAATTCCTAGAAACATGCAATCTATCAAGACTGAATCAGGAAGAATTAGAAAATCTGGACAGTCATAATAAGTAAAGGTATTGAATCAGTTTCAAAAACCTCTCAACAGAAAACCCCAGGACCAGAAGGCTTCACTGACAAATTCTATGAAATATTTAAAGAATAATTAATGCCAGTTCTTCAAAAACTCTTCCAAAAAAATTAAAGAGGAAAGAGGGAACACTTCCAAACTCATTCTACAAGCCAGTATTACCTTCAATATAAGCCATTATCCAGGATGAATATAAATGCAAAAATTCTCATCCAAATATCAGCAAGTCAAATTCAAGAACATATTAAAAGGATTATATACCATGACCAAATGGGATTTATCCCTGGGATGCAAGGATGGTTCAAAGTACCCAAATCAGTAAGTGTAATACATTGCATTAATAGAATGAAATTTAAAATAACTTGATCATCTCAATAAATGTAGAATAACATTTGGCAAGATACAACATCCTTTCCTGATAAAAACCCTCAACATATTGGGTGTAGAAGGAACATACTTCAACATAATAAAGATGTGATATATATAATACACACACACACATGCACACACACACACACAGAACTGAATGTTATTCATCTATGAGAAAGAAGGACATCCTGCCATTTTTTGACAACATGGATGGACTTTGATGGCATTATGCTAAAATTCGTGCTTTCATTCTAATCTTAATTACTCCTATAACTAAATATACATTGTGATATATATTTTGAAAATTGTAATTCTAATTTATATTTTTTTTATCCTACAAGAAAACTGTGATCTTATTATAGCTGTTATTTTCCAACTAAACCTCATACTATAGTTGATTTAGTGTAATAAAAAATTCTTTGAGAAAACGATTGTAATGGTGTGATGTGCACATGATAATTTATTTAATTATTGCTTAATTTTGAATATTTACATTACTTCCAGTGTTGGCTTTTATGAATTACTGCCCAAAATATTGTTTTTGCACACCTTGATTAATTTTCTCTGTATGGTTTCTTAGGAGTATACTATGAAGTCAAAGGCTATAGCATTTTTAAGATTCTTGAAGCATTTTGCCAAATGTCTTAATTCTTTAAAAATTACAGAAATTTTCTGAGAACCTAATAATGAATGGAAAAGTTAGTAGCTTGAAGGAATAGTTTCTTTATATAATGAAATCTTCACAATCATTGACGGATTTAAATCTTATTTTGCAACTTAATAGCAACAGCTACTATTACTAATTATTATCATTATCCTACTATTCATCTTTTCTTTGTCCTTATTCCTCTCCTCTTAACCTCCCTTCTTACTAACGCTATCACTTTCCTGCAATGAGAACAGGGAAATCTTTCAAAAACTAGGGTTAGATAGCATAAAACTTTCACTAACCTTATCTCAGACTTTGTTGGTGCAAATGGCATTATTTTGTTCTTTTTTATGGCTGAGTAATATTCCATTGTATATATGTACCACATCTTTTATTTATTTTTGGCTGCATTGGTTCTTCCTTGCTGTGCACGGGCTTTCTCTAGTTGTGGTGAGTGGGGGCTACTCTTTGCAGTGCGTGGGCTTCTCATTGTGGTGGCTTCTCTTGTTGTAGAGCATGGGCTCTGGGCATGCGGGCTTCAGTACTTGTGGCTCACAGGCTCTAGAGCACGGACTCAGTAGTTGTGGTGCACAGGCTTAGCTGCTCCGTGGCATCAGGGATCTTCCCAGACCAGGGCTTGAACCCATGTCCCCTGCATTGGCAGGCAGATTCTTAACCACTGTGCCACTAGGGAAGCCCTTAAGTCAATTTAAAAGAGATCATATCAATTTAAAATAGATTCGATTCTTGCTTTCCTTCATAAGGAATAGCATCCTATAAACTGACGAGAATTCTTTGTATTTTTAAACTACAGGAAGTTTTCAGATTCAAGTTGTACAAATTATTTGCTGTTTAGTGTATGTGCAGAGTTTATGGTTCTTATATATGCAGTGTATATTTTCCCTGTGCTCATTCTGTTAGGCAGCTATGATGTTGAGATGTACATCCCTAAGGGAGCTTTACTGAGGTTTTCTGTAGGATTGGTATAGGCAGAAAACACCTATCCTAATAAACTAAATTATCTCTTTTATTCTGCAAGTTGTAAAACCCTGGGACTTCAAATGAGGAATGGTTTAAGTGCTGATGTGAAAGCTAGGAAATGCTGAATTTGGCTCCAAAAATTGTTAGATCATACATTTATATTGTTCAAGAATGGTGTTCTTTTTGGCTAGTGCGCCAGTGAAGAATCTCAATCCTTAGAAAAGAATTTTATCATTTTATCTTGCTGGTCAGATAGCCAAACCTTAAAAAATTCTTAAAATAAAACAACTTTAACTTAAATGTATTAAATTATATTTTATTTAACTTAAATTTTATTACATGTATTAAAATTTTAATTCCCTTTATTTTTCATTTAAAAACTTAAAATTTACTTTTAAACAACTCCTTGGGTTATCTACTCTTTAGGACTTTGCTAGATTATATAATCTTGATATATTGGAAAACCAGTTTCTAGTAATTTAGAAATTAGATCCAAGTGACTGGTACACATTGGGTTATTGACAGTATGGAATAGCAACAAAATAACAATAAAGACAATAGGTAATATTTTTTCTGGATCACTAAGTATGTTCCAGAGACATTTTCGGTGTTTCATACATACTAACAGATTTTTTCCCCACAACAATATGAGGTTTGTACTATTATTATAAGAGTTAAGGCGGACATAACTCTATGAACATTGTATTCTAGTTTTCCATCATTGTTGCCTGTATCTTGTAACAACCAGCTAAATGGTGTCCCTTTTCACTCTTGCCCCTCTACAATCCAACCCAGTGACTACATCCTGTGTGTGTTTTTTTTTTATGTGAACATCTCTCTCCCTTTCTTTACCCTTTTAATTTTCTCCCTAATGCTCCTACTAGATGTTTCAAACTCCTTATAATTATCTGTCTCCAACTTACCTCTCCAGCATCATCTGCCTCTTTACTCAAACTCTTCCTTTTTAGGCTAAACTTAGACTTCTTGGAAACTGTCATTACTACTCTACCTGTTTTTCTTTTGTGCCTTCTTCTACCCCTGCCCTATCCTGAACATCTTTCAGATCTTGTCTTAATTATCAATGCCTCAGGGATAATATCTGTGATTCCTGCTGGATGTTTCCTTAGTGTTGTGGTCTTTCCTTATAAAAATTTCACAAAGTTTTTACTACTTGCTGGTATTCTATCTTTCCAGGTAGAGTGTCAGATGGCAGAAACTGTGTCTACACCATTTCTCTGCATATTAGCACTTATTTCTGGAATATGCTAGTCATTTTATAATTATTCTTTTAATTTTTTATAATAATTCTTTTAATGAAGTCTGATGATTTATTATGTATTGAATAATGAAAGTAATAATTTTACTGACATATTCTCAAAGTCTTCCACTTTATTCTGTATTGATAATGAAATTCTGATACTTGCGTTGGTATAGAAATATATGAGTTTCTAATTGGCAAGTCACTTTATCTAGCATCCCACATCTCTCTCACTGTAATTAAATATTCTAAATAAAGAACACAGGATTATTCCTATTGAAAATTCAATGTAAACAAAACAGAATAAATAGGAATAGTTAACCTTAGGCAGGGGTTTGGCTGGTTTGCAGTGGAGGCGTCCAACAAATTCAAAATTTGGTAGCAGTGGGAGAGGAAATTCAAAATCCCAGTATGTTCAAATGAGCCACATTTCAGCTTTCCCCATTGTCTTTAATAATGTAGTCGGTCTTCCTGGAAGGATAAACTAAAATAACAAGAGTTAGATCAAATGAGAGTATTGCCATGTGAATATAGTAGGTAGTTTTTGGAAAGGAGCTTGGAATGATATAGCCAAAGATGTTTGAAAGTGTTCTCTAATTAAGCAAATATATATGTATGTGTATAGTGTACACCATATTGATATTGTATCATATCATATCATATAATACAGAAATCGAGCTACACAAGTAGAAACAATTTCCAAATGCTACCTAGATACTTGTGCTACAAATATGTGTGTAACTCTTCAATCTACCTGTCTTCATTTATCAAGGCATTTTATGAGGTTTCTAGTGATTTTTTTTAAGTTAAAAAAAGAAGTTTAGTAATATAGATATATAATTGCTTGGAGAAGTCCTAAGTGCTTCAGTTTGTGTTTTATGACTTCCTGGAGGAGAATCTGTATGAGTAATGGGAAACAGGGTTATACCTTACCCTATAATTTAATATTTTGATAATACTTATGAAATCATTTTATATTTTCATTTCCTTGTTTCACTTATAAGAGACAAAATTCTGTTACGTTATACAAACTCACCTTCCAAGGCACTAGGAAAGTTAGGACTTCATGCTACCAACTAAAAATATGACTTACCTAGTACTTCGCCATAAAAGTGATTCCATTTATTCTCATTAAATGTCTGGAACCAAAAGTCAAAATAAAGTTCATATATCATATTTTTGACCCTCTCCGTGAATGTCACGTTATCACTTAATTCTGAAAACGTAGCAGGTACATAGGATGGTGGTAATGGAAGTCTTCCACTATACTTTTCAGCTGAATAGCCAGGAGAGGAGCGGAGACTGTATACTAAAGGTACTTTAAGTACCTCAGCCAGCAGCTCACCACAGGGTCCAACAGCATCTGCAAGAACAGCATCAAACCTTGATTCATGTAGTTTTGTCATCAGCTTCTTGTTCGAAACAACATCTTTACAGATATTCATAAGCATATCAGAAAGTTCCCAAAATAAACTTCTCAATGATGAAAAATATGTCCACAACGAATTTTTTGCCAGATATGTCCATTTCTCTACCAAATGCTTGATGTTATGCTTCAAATTATCTTTAGTTAAAGACATAGAGAAAGTCCCAAACTTAATAGCAGATGGTTTGTTGGGATCAATAAGAATGGAAGCTGAAGTTGTCAGAACAGTCACCTTATGACCCATCATGACAAGTTCATCCAGGATTGTCTTCATATTCATCCAATGACTGTATTTCATTGGCCGTGCCAGCACCTTTCCACAACTTCCAGAGCTAAAGTAGCAAGTCAGCTGTAGTAGCAGCAGAAGTGAGAGCCATTTCACAGACATCTTGTTCATATGCAGTACTTTTCAAAAATTACATTATCCTTTTGCCATTGCTCATGCTTATATCCAAGGAGAAATCAATCAGGATGTTAAATTATAACTCCTGTGCCTCAAATAACTACATTATATGAATAGTCATAGCTGTGGAAATCAAGTGAAAGGGCAAAGTGTAGAACACTTCATGTTTATACTGGTGTTTAATATTATTTCATCAGTGCTATCACCCATCTAAAAGTCGATGACCTTGCACACACAAATCAGTTATTATGTAAGAGAGAAAAATAGTGTAACAACAGTGACAAGTGAGAGGCTCTTGTGTCTGCAGTCCCCTTGACACAGAATTAGAGATAATGTAACATCAACAGGATGGAGGGTTAGGAGGTTCCAACACTTGTATCCCCCATAAAAGCAACAACAAAAAAAATAAATGAGCAACTACAAACCAATGTAAATTACTTTGGGAAAGCTCTGGACTACAATGAAGAAGCAGCAGAAACCCTGCAGATTGTAAAAACTGAGGATGGCCCTGTGAAAAAGCTTGGGAAACATTTTACCTCCATCACCTCATCCTCCAGTTCAGAGCAGCTTGGCACCCACAGAAATTCCTTCAAATGGATTTCACCCCATGGGGAGAAGAAGAGCAGGAGAATCCCAGCAAGCTTCACCATCATAGAGGTTTGCAGTATTTGCTACTGAGGACTTCCACAGTCTTCACCAACACTGATTACAGCAGACACAGAGCTGCCCAGAGTCCCTGCTTCTGTGTCTTATCTGAGGCTGGAAATGTTGCTGTGGTGAGATCTGACACTTGGGGCCCCATCACTCTGGTACTTTGCTTTCCCTGGTTGAGTTGTCACAATGCCTGACTATCTATGAGACTGGAGCTCCTGCTCTGTGCCCTGCCCTCAGGTATTAAGTCAGTACTTTGTCTTGCCATAACTGGGGCAATGCTGCTATTGCTTGGACTTCACTGTGTATTCCTAGTTGTGGCTTTGACTGGTCATTACCTAGGCTGAGCTGCTGAGCTACCCACCATTCCTGGAGCCTAAGTCATGGCTTTAACCTATCATTGCTGGGGCTAAAATGCTGCTACTTTGTACCTCACCCTGGGTCAGGGTTCTGATCCACAATTACCATGGCCACACTGCTGGGGCTCTGCACCCCAGCCCATGGGTCCTGACTTGCGACTTTAACAGGCCATTGCTGGGCACACGCTGCTGCTGCTCTGTGACTTCCACTAGGGCCAGAATTGGAATCTTGGCCCACCATTTCCAGGCTGTGCAGCTACAGGACCCTGGACCCTTGGACCTAAGCCATTGTAGAACCCTGTCATCTCAGGGCCTGTAACACTGCTGCATCCCAGTCACCCCCCCCAATATATTAACTATATGTCAAATGCCTAGGACTACAACTATATACATGTTTTACATGCTTGCTTTTTATATTTATTAAGAGAAGAAAGAAGACATATGCATTTATACTGTCATATAAATACTTATCTCACCAGTTCTTTCTGTTTTATCATGGTGATTAGAAATTGCAATCTGGGTTTACTTCCTTCAGTTTGAAGACTTTCTTTTAGTTTTTCCTATAAGGCAGATTTCCAAGCAATGAATTTTTTGGGGGGGAGTGGAGGGAGAGAAATATCTGTATTTTGCCCTCATTTTTGAAAGATAGTTTTGTTTGATATAGAACTTTTGGTTGACAGTTTTGTCTTTCAGCGCTTTGAATATGTCATCCCACTGCCATAGAGCTTCCATTGTTTCTAATGAGATATAAGTGATGTCTTATTGGAGTTCCCTTGTATGGATAAATTACTTTTCTTTTAGTGCTTCAAGATTTTCTGTCTTTAGCTTTCAACATTTCATTAAGTCTGTGTATGGCTCTCCTATGTTTATCGTACTTGGACTTGGTTGAACAATTGGGATACATAGGTTAATGCTTTTCATCATATTTGGGATGTTCTCAGGCATTATTTTTAAAAATATTTTGCTCCGCTCCTTTTTCTCTGACACTCCCATTTTGTGTATGTTACTGTGCTTAATTATGTCCCACAATTCTCAACCCCTCAGTTCATTTATCTTCATTCTTTTTTCTCTCTGTTCTTTGAGGTGTATTATCTTATTGGTCTATCTTCAAGTTTGCAGGGTTTTTTTTAAAATTTATTTTTGTCTGTGTTGGATCTTTGTTGCTGTGTGTGGACTCTCTCTAGTTGCAGTCAGTGGGGTCTATTCTTCATTGTGGTGCACGGGCTTTTCACTGTGGTGGCTTCTCCTGTTGCAGAGCACAGGCTCTAAGTGCGTGGCCTCAGGAGTTGTGGTGTGCAGGCTCAGTAGTTGTCATGCACGGGCTTGTTGCTCCACGGCACGTGGGGTCTTCCTGGACCAGAGCTCAAACCCATGTCCCCTGTATTGGCAGGTGGATTCATAACCACTGCGCCACCAGGGAAGTCCCTTGCAGGCTTTTTTGTTTTGTTTTGTTTTTAAAGTTCAGCAAGATTTTTTTTTTGATAGACATTGATGATCTGATTTTTAAATTCATATGGAAAGGAAAAGGACCTAGAATAACCAAAGTTGTATATCAAACTTTAAAAAGGAAAACAAAGTTGAAGGACTAACATTACCTGATTTCAGGAGTTATTGTAAAGCTATGTTATCAAGAGAGTATGGTACTAGTGCAAAGACAGACAAATAGATCAGCGGAATAGAATAGCAAGTCCAGAAACTAACCCACACACATATGGCACACATATATGGACAAATGATTTTTGACAAAGGTGTAAAGACAATTTAGTGGAGAAAGGATAGCCTTTCAACAAGTGGTGCTGGCATAAAAGGATAGGCATGTGCCAAAAAAAAAACCAAAAAAATAAACCAAAACAAGAACTTCAAACCATACCTTGTACCATACACAAAAATTAACTTAAAATGGATCATAAAATCAAATGCAAAATCTACAACTAGGGCTTCCCTGGTGGCACAGTGGTTGAGAGTCCACCTGCCGATGCAGGGGATGCGGGTTCGTGCGCTGGTCTGGGAGGATCCCACATGCCTCAGAGCGGCTGGGCCCATGGGCCATGGCTGCTGGTCCTGTGCGTCCGGAGCCTGTGCTCCACAGCGGGAGGGGCTGTGGCATTGAGAGGCCCAGTACCGCTAAAAAAAAAAAAAAAAAAAAAAAAAAAAAAAAAAAAAAAAAAATCTACAATTATAAAACTCCTAGGAGAAAACTTTCATGGCCTTGAGTTGGGCAAAAATTTCTTAAATATGACACCAAAAGCATGGTCCAGAAAAGGCAAAACTGATCAACTGGACTTTATCAAAGTTAAAACTTCTCTTTGAAAGACACTTTTAAAAGAATGAAAGACAAGCCACAGACTTAGAGAAAGTATTTGCAAATCATATGTGTGATAAAGGACTTGTATCAAGAATATGTAAATAACTCTTAGAACGCAATTAGAAAACAAAAATATCATTTGTAAATCAGGCAGAGGAGTTGAACAAATACATCAGTAAGGAAGATATATGGTGGTAAATAAGGCACAAGAAAAGATGCTTAACATTATTAGTCATTAGGGAAATGCAAATTAAAACCTTGAGGTACCACTATACACCTTTTTTTTTTTTTTTTTTTTTTGCGGTACGGGGGCCTCTCACTGTTGTGGCCTCTCCCGTTGCGGAGCACGGGCTCCGGACACGCAGGCTCAGCAGCCATGGCTCACGGGCCCTGCCACTCCGTGACATATGGGATCTTCCCGGACCGGGGCATGAACCCGTGTCCCCTGCATCGGCAGGCGAACTCTCAACCACTGTGCCACCAGGGAAACCCTACACCTATTTTTTTTTCTTTCGTAGTTACATGTTTTATTAATCACATCTGAGAAAAGTCACTGATTTTCATTTTGTACAGCATTATCTTGTAAGGACAAGATACAGTAACAACTTCCAAGTTTTTGCATATCAGAGCTGAAACTGAAAACATCTCCATAATTGAATTTTCACTTCTTATTTGTAATAAGTTTATCCTTAGGAGGATACTTCATAGTGTTTGATCACAGATGAGTTTGGACATTGCTATCACTCAATAATGTTAAGCATCTGTCAGGTTCTCTCCTATACTATATATTAATTTTTTCTCCGTTAAGCAAATATTTATTGGCGGTCTGTGGGAATAAGATACATCTAGGTCCTCTTTCCTTGGTATATTCACAAAAGCCTCTGAAACTAAATTTCCAAGTCAGGCCATACTAAGCCATGGCATAGTAAGTTTTCATCATTAACAGTTTTTTTTTTTTTTTATTCAAACAGCAAGTCACAAAAATTATAATCATCCTCATCAGTTCACTCAGTCCCATGTAATTAATTTTTTTATCTTGATCTTTTGTTAGCACTTTTATGAATTCATCAGTTTTCCATTAGAGTTCAGAAAATGCTTATTCATTCAGTTCAGCAGTATAGTCAGTTACCAGAAACCTGTGCTTGTCAGAGTCTTTTCCATGAATTCCTAGAAGATGAAACACTTTTATAGGAACATTTTTGCAAAAGCATCAGAGTACACCCAGAACTGTCTGTAAATGACAAAAGACTTAAAAATGACCACAGTTAAAGATTTGATGAAAGTTCATAATAATGCAATTGACAAGGAAATTTAGTTATTTCTGAGATATACATTTTAAAATAATAACTAGAATTATGACTGCTAACATTATACCAGAATATATAAGATTTTTAGGAATTTCATGTAATGTCTGAAACATTTATATTAACATATTTTCATACAAATAACCCAAAGGAAGTTTAGTATTAGTTGTTTTGTTTTTAATTTTTGAATTTTATTTTATTTATTTTTTATATAGCAGGTTCTTATTAGTCATCAATTTTATACACATCAGTGTATACATGTCAATCCCAGTCACCCAATTCATCTCACCACCATCCCCACCCCACCCCCTGCAGCTTTCCCGCCTTGGTGTCCATATATTTGTTCTCTACATCTGTGTCTCAACTACTGCCCAG